CCAGGAACTTTTTCCAGGTCTCCCATGTAAGCACAGGGTCCCAATGTATTGGGCCACCCTCTGCTGCTTTCCTAGACCATAAGCAGGCAGCTGGATTGGAAGGAGAGCAGCCAGGGCATGAACCAGCACACGTATGGGATGCTGGAGCTTGGAGGTGAAGGATTACCCAGTTGAACCACTGTGTTGGCCCCTGTGAGCTCTTTATATTATAGCTGTGGGGTCTCTGATGTGGTATAGTAGGTTAAGTTACTGCCTTGAACACTGGAATCCCAAATAAGCATTGGTTCAAGTCCCAGCTACGCCACCTCCCACACAGCTCCCTGCCAATGTGCCTGGGAAAGCAATAGAATATGGCCCAATTCCTTGGGCCCTGCCATCCACCTGGGAGTCCCAGATGGAGTACTAGGCTCCTGGATTCAGCATGGCCCTGATCTGGTCATTGCAACCATGTGTGAATGAACCAGCAGATGAAATGTATACCTCTTTTTCTCTGTCTCTCTTTATCTTTCTTTCAAATAAATAGATCTTTTTAAAAAAGTGTAGCTATAAGTATGACTATCCTGAGTCTCCTTGTTATATATCATCAAACCTAAGGGTGGTCTTCAGCACATCCTTAATGTACATCATCAACAGTCAGTGGGAATAAGCAAATTGTAGCCATAATGTGATCTCATTTCACATTCATTAGAATGGCTCTAATCCAACATTGTTGCCATGGGTGAGGAAAAAAAATGCAGCCTTATAGATTTGCTAATAGGAGTGTGAAATGGAACAGCTCATGTATTAAAAATATGACCTAGAAATCCCACTGTTAGATACTTATTCAAGAGAAATGAAAACTTATGTCCACATTAAAACCTTATGTATAGACATTCATAGTAGCATTATTCATGATCGCTTCAGAGCCAGGGAGAAAATCCCAATTCATCTCAATTGGGAAATGGACAAAAGATAGTAGTGTGTAGTCGTACAATGCAGCATAATTCTTAAAAATATTCTATTTGTAAGGCAGAGTTAGAGAGAGAGATACTTTTCCATCTGCCAGTTCCCTTTCCAGTTGCACCAGACTGAAGCCAAGGGACAACTCCACGTCTTCCACTTGGGTGGCAGAGGCCCAAGCACTTGGACCATCTGCTACTGCTTTCCCAGGTGCATTAACGGCTGTATCAGAAGTGGAGCAGTGGGGACTCAAGCTGGTGCTCATGAGATGTCAGTACCAAGGTGTAACCCACTGAGCTATCCCTGAAATACTATGTAACAATGAAAAGGTTTTCAACATTTCTTAAACATATTTTTAACTGTATGCAGTTAAGTACGATGTGACGATCCAATACATTTATACAATGTGTTTTTAAAAGAAAAATCCTTCTCAAAAGACTCATCCAGCATCATTATCATATTATTCACTTTTGAATTTCTTCTTTCTGAATAAGGCTGAACATGCATTTATCTTCTCTCCTAAAAATCCCACTAAAATGAGAATAATGAGACAACAGAGTAAGGATAAAGTTGGGATCCGAGGGGACGACAACCCAGCAGGTGAGGCACTCGCTGGGATTCCCATATTGGGATTAAATCCACACACCTGGATTTAATTCCTAGCTCTTGGTTCTGACTCTAACTTTCTGCTAATTACAACACTGAGAAGCAGTGGTAATGGCTCAACTGATTGGATTCATGCCACCCATGTGAGAGGCCTTGAGTTCCACACTTCAGCACAGCTTAGCTCAAGCCATTGCTGTCACCTAAGGAATAAATGAATGGGTAACCCATGATCACTCAATAAACACACTTTCATATTATACTATGAATAGGTTGGTTGGTTGGTTGAAGATCTGTTCAGAAAGAAATTAGGGAATGGCAGTGTGGCACTGGGAGCCAAGCTGCTTTCTATGCTGCCTGGTTCAAATCCCAGCTTGTCCAGCTCCCTGCAAATACACCTGGGAATGCAGAAAAATACAGTCCAAGTACTCAAGTCCCTGCACCCACATGGGAGATGAATGGTTTTTATGCCCTGGAAAGAGTAACACAGAGGGTCTCTGACCTGAGGCAACTTGAGAAACAGTGAGGACTGGGGTGCCACAGTAAACGGAAAGATTAAAGCGGCGTAGGACTTTACATTCCTTCCCTAGCCAGCCATCAGACTATTGCTGATCACGCTTCTACTCACAGCATCCCAGTGCATGAAACACAAGCATCTCATCAGCCAAAGAGAAGTTGGAAGATAAAGGCAACAAGAGTTTCCCTCAGAGAAATGGTCCTGCCATTTCAGGAAACATGGTCTCCAGTGCTACTCACAGACTCTACCATTGTATTTGACTTTGGAGTATTGTGAAGTAGAAGGAGGAGAAAGGGGAGAAAAAGCAGGAGATATCTCGTGCCAGTTCACTCCCCAAATGTCAATAAGCAGCCAGAGCTGGGCCAGGCTGAACCAAGAAAGGACCTATAAACTCAGGGTAGGTTTTGCACAAGAAGTCAATCACTTGAGCCTGCAGGGTACACGTTAGCAAGAAGCCAAAATAGTAAGTGGAACCAGAACTCAAACCTAGGCACTCCTAACTTGGGGTGCAGGCATCCCAACTGGTGTGTTAAACTTAGTGCCAAATATTCAACCCCCTCAACACTTTTCATCACGAAGTTATTCAAGTCTACCTCTGTGTTAGAGCTTTTGACTGTTAACTGAAAGGGGAGCTACTGGGAAACTTGTTCTACTAAATGAGTGAATCAGCTGAAAGTGGATTAGCCATCAAGGAAAACAGGTTCTCAAGGGCACGGAGGCATGGCCTAGTGGCTAAAGTCCTCGCCTTGAACTCACCGGGATCCCATATGGATGCTGGTTCTAATCCCAGCAGCTCCACTTCCCACCCAGCTCCCTGCTTGTGGCCTGGGAAAGCAGCCAAGGATGATTCAAAGCCTTGGGACCCTGCACCCGTGTGGGAGACCTGGAAGAGGTTCCTGGCTCCTGGCTTCAGATCGGCACAGCACTGGCCGTTGCGCTCACTTGGGGAGTGAATCATCGGACAGAAGATCTGTCTTTCCTCTTCTGTATATCTGACTTTGCAATAAAATAAATAAATCTTTAAAAAAAGAAAGACAACAGGCTCTCAAAAGAGTAAGGAGAAGAAAACCCAGAGAGACTAAGGAAGGAGACCAGAGGCCTGTGGAACAGATCCAAAGGTTCCAGAATGAAAGTCACCATGAAAAAAAAATTGAGTTTGAGCATGTTGAAAGATTTTCTATATTTTATTTTGTATTATGGCATTTCACTTTTATTTTCATAAAAGGATAAGGGCCATTTTTTAAATTTTCTTGCATACTTTTGCTTTGAAAGACAGAGGCAGGGAGAGACAGAAAGTGAGATCTTCCACCTGCTGAGTCATTCCCCAAATGCCCACACAACCCATGCTGGGCCATGCTGCTGGGAGCAGCCAGGACACTCCCATAATAGGACCATCATCTGACACCTCACTAGGATGCTGGATTGGAGAAAGAGCACCTGGGACCCAAATCAGGACTCCTCTATGGGATGAGCGCATGGCAGGGAGCAACTTCACTTGCTGGGCTAAAACCTGTGCCCCTCCTCCAAATATCCACAATATGAATGAATAATGGATTACTTGCATTGGTACAGTGTGATAAACACTCCAAAAAGGGCCTGACAGTAGATATCAGGCATTCTAACTTACAATACCCTAATACCTGTAACCCAATGATATTCACTCTGAATGATACTGGACTGCCAGTGATTCATCTACTTGAAGCCCAACAGCAGAAGCATCACGCTTGCAATAGGCACAGTAGCCAGTATACCCTTCAGTCACACTGTATGAATCCACATTCTATTCACTCCTCCTTCTGTAACTTACTCAACCACCTGCAAGCTATGATTCCCTCGCTTGAAAACATTTACTCACTGGGTTACTTGAGGATGGAGCTAATGCATTGGTTCCCTAGAACAGTTGTCTTGGTCTTTGAAATTCTGACTATAAACTCTCAAGTCTGAGATTATGAGAAAAACAGATATGAGAGAGGAACTTTCCTTGATGTGTAAAAAAGCAATAACTGGGCCCAGTGCAATGGCTCAGTGGCTAAATTCTGGCCCTGCATGCACCAGGATCCTTTATAGGCATCGGTTCATGTGCCAGTTGCTCCACTTCCAACCCAGCTCCCTGCTTGTGGCCTGGGAAAGCAGTGAAAGATGGCCCAAAGCCTTGGGACCCTGCAGCCCCGTTGTAGATCATGAGTCCCTGGCTCCTGGTTGGTTACAACTGGCTCAGCTCCGGTCATTGCGGCAGCTTGGGGAGTGAAGATTTTTTTCTGTCTCTCCTCCTCTCTGTAAATCTGCCTTTGCAATAAAATTAAATAAACCTAAAAAAAAAAAAAAAAAAAAAAAAAGGCAGTAACTGGGAGTCAGCCTGTCTCCGGTGTCTCCACCACCATTTATCCACTTGTATGGCGCTAAGTAATGACTTAATTTCTCAGTCTCCTTACTGATCATACAGTTTCATTCGCCCTGTCCTTGCACTCATCGGGCCTTTGCCCCTTTCACCTGTCGGTCGCCCTGTGGAAAATCACCGCTCTCGGAGCAGGCCTGGCGGGGAGTGTGGGGACGCGACGAGGCGGTAGGGCTGGCGTTCTTGTCACCTTTCGGCCACGAGAGGGCAGCAGGCGCCCGACACTGCATCCCTGGCAACCGTGAACCCCTGCTTAAACACAACAAAACACCAGAATCGGGGCGCTTCTCTTCCGCTTTCTCTTTCGGGCTGCCCCTCTCCCATCTCCCCTAAACCAGCTAGCTTCTCCATGACCGACAGGTGACGTGAGCTCAGCGCCGCGTTCTGCAGACGCCACCGCCGGAAGTGGGCGGTGACGGGAGCGCGGGGTTCTCGCGAGATCGCGGGCGGAAGAGGGTGGAGGCCCGGAGGCGGCGGCGGCGGCGACTCACCTCAGAGGCCGGCGAGTCTCCCGAGCGGCTGCAGGCGTCCGGCCCGTCCGCCTCGGGCACCGTCCTCCCTGGGAGCGCGAGCCCCGCCGAGGCCTGTCCTGCCCGAGCTCGCGCTCCCGGCCTCCCCGGCGGCAGTGCGCAGCCCCGTCCAGTGCGCCCTCAGGCCCAGTCCGCGGCGGTCCGGCGGGTGATGCCCAACACAGCCATGAAGAAGAAGGTGCTGCTGATGGGGAAAAGCGGGTCGGGCAAGACCAGCATGCGATCCATCATCTTTGCAAATTACATTGCCCGCGACACCCGGCGCCTGGGCGCCACCATTGACGTGGAGCACTCCCACGTCCGCTTCCTGGGGAACCTGGTGCTGAACCTGTGGGACTGCGGCGGCCAGGACACCTTCATGGAGAACTACTTCACCAGCCAGCGAGACAACATCTTCCGCAACGTCGAGGTCCTGATCTACGTGTTTGACGTGGAGAGCCGCGAGCTGGAGAAGGACATGCATTACTACCAGTCGTGCCTGGAGGCCATCCTCCAGAACTCGCCCGACGCCAAAATCTTCTGCCTGGTGCACAAGATGGATCTGGTGCAGGAGGACCAGCGTGACCTGATTTTCAAAGAGCGAGAGGAAGACCTGCGGCGTTTGTCTCGCCCGCTGGAGTGCGCTTGCTTCCGAACGTCCATCTGGGACGAGACGCTCTACAAGGCCTGGTCCAGCATCGTCTATCAGCTGATTCCCAACGTTCAGCAGCTGGAGATGAACCTGAGGAATTTCGCCCAGATTATCGAGGCCGACGAAGTCCTGCTGTTCGAGAGAGCTACGTTCTTGGTCATTTCCCATTACCAGTGCAAGGAGCAGCGGGACGTCCACCGGTTTGAGAAGATCAGCAACATCATTAAGCAGTTCAAGCTGAGCTGCAGTAAATTGGCCGCCTCTTTCCAGAGCATGGAAGTCAGGAATTCTAACTTCGCTGCCTTCATCGACATCTTCACCTCCAACACGTACGTGATGGTGGTCATGTCAGATCCGTCCATCCCTTCTGCAGCTACTCTCATCAACATTCGCAATGCCCGGAAACACTTTGAGAAGCTGGAGAGAGTGGATGGGCCCAAGCACAGTCTCCTCATGCGTTGAATATTGCCAAATGCTCCCTGAAAATGCTGAATTGCCCTCCCCACCCACTCGTTTTGTTCTGCATCCTTTATTTTTAATATCATGTCGTGTGCTTCAAAGTGTACTGCTTATTACTCCCACCTTTTTTTCCCTGTTGCCCAACCCTTAAACGTTGGATGCTATTTACTGAGCTATCCAGTAGAGCTTTAAGATGACCCCTCAGAAAAGTCGGTATGCTGTAACACTAAAGTAGGTGGTGTGTGTGTGTGTGTGTGTGTCCTGATTATTTGGTTCTAATAGATAATGCACATCAGAGCCTTTACAAAGAACTTGTGTATTCCTGAGGAGACCGCAGAGATGGAATGTTACTATTTTATCAACAAGGTATTAAAATGCATTTATAAATTGTTCTTGGCTTCAGTCATGAATAAACATTTGTTAGCAATTTAAAATATGGTGTTATTTGAAATAATTTCAAACTGCTTAGTATGTACATTGCAGATTCTAACTGCCCACAGTTTTGCTCGGCACCAGAGGTGATGTGTGAGCCGGGTCCCTTCAGCAATACTTGATTAGCACCTGCAGGTTAAGGCATGGCCTCTGAGCCAGACCACCTGACTGGCTCAGTATTTGGGTCCTTTCACGTGTCTGATCTTAATTTCATTGTGCCTGTTTCTTCACATTTGTAAAATTAGAATAATACCAGGATTGCTTGAAGTTAATAAAACATGGAAAGTATTTAGAATGTACCCAGCACATACTCAGTAGGATGTACATCTGCTATCATTACCACTTAAGTGAGCCATTCCTCCCTCAAATTACTGAAGTCTGGCTAACCATTTGAACCCTTGATAAATACCAAGTATTTATAAATACTTCAAGTACCTTTATCTTCAGCTTCACAACCTATGAAGTATGTCCTTCTGTTTGTTTCTTATTGGAAAGTTAGATCCACAGAAAGATCCTCTGTTGGCAGTTCACTGCCCAACGGTAGGAGCTGAGCTGATCCAAAGCCAGGAGCCAAGAACCTCCTCCAGGTCTCCTCCGTGGGTGCAAATGCCATTCTCTTCTACTTTCCCAGGCCACAAGCAGGGAGCTGGATGAAGTGGAGCTGCCAGGATTAGAACCGGCATCCATATAGGATCCCAGAGTGTTCAAGGCTAGGACTTTAGCCGCTAGGCCATGCCGCCAGTCCCTAGATTGCTTTTGAGGAAGGATTCAAAGGTTTCTAATTTTGACTGGCAATTGTGATATGGTGAAATTAGAAAAACAAAGCTAAAATCTCCTATTCCAATTCCAATCACTTTTAGGTCCTCTGATCCACAACTCCAACCTTCTTATAGATGAGGCAATATCTTTGTATAAATAGTAAAAATAAGTTTTGGTGCCTTAGCATTTCCAAGGCTTTATAAAGTGACAGCTTTCTAGCAGTAGATGTGGGTGAAAGTCCCTACCCATGACAAGGCCAGCAGCTGCAGAAATATAAATTACAAACATCATCCATTCAGAACTATGAGCTGTACACTCCACATAACAAAATTCTTAATGGTATATACTTCTATAAACCACTTAAGAGTATATGTAGTAAGTATTAAATATTAACCTGGATGTTTGAAACCTGAACTACTGATTCTCTTAAATTTGCTATTAATCAAGTTATTAATATTTTATATGATCATTTTATGGTTTATAGAGCATGGTTCTTTTTATCATATGAAAAGTCCAGAGCCAAACAGTACGATACTGAACACTCAAATCAAGCCAATTATAACTAGAGCATATTTATAACATGCCAGAGCGGGCATGGTGCAGTGGCCTAGCAGCTAAAGTCCTTGCCTTGAATGCATTGAGATCCCATTTGGGCACCAGTTCTAATCCCAACAGCTCCACTTCCTATCCAGCTCCCTGCTTATGGCCTGGGAAAAGCAGCAGAGGACAGCCCAAAGCCTTGGAACCTTGCACCCGCGTGGAGATGTGGAAGAAGTTCCTGGCTCCTGGCTTCAGATCTGCTCAGCACCAGCCGCTGTTTTCATTGTTTTGGGAGTGAATCATTGGACGGAAGATCTTCCTGTTTTTCCTCTTCTCTGTGTATCTGACTTTGCAATAAAAATAATTCTTTCAAAAAGAATAGTGCCATACAGCACTGAAATTTGTTTTAAATTTTTTTAAATTTATTTTGGACAATCTTTACATAGTTAATTTGGGTAAAAAGAGTCAAGGGCTACAGGAAAGTGGGTAAGACTATTATTTCCATATTGTTTCCTTCTTGTATCTGAGGTAAAGAGGGATACTGAGGGAGCAGCCCCACCCGGTTTCCCACCCACCCCAAGTCCCGGATGTGGGGCATGATCTGAGATACTGGCTCAAGTGGCTTCAATAGTTCACCAGTTTTGAAATTGCTGCCAATCACGCTTCTCCAAACACAATGAGGTTGTTGAAAAATCCATTGATTGACATCATAGTGTCTTTGCCTGGTATTTTGTTGCCAACCTATAGCTGAGGTGGTTGATTAACTTGTTCCATCTTTTGTCCTTTCATGGTTAGAGTTCTGAGTCTGGCATTTCAATTGGGGAGATCGCCAAAGAAACTTCGTCTGAGGTGATCCCAGGCCAGATACTTGTATGCACCAGCAAGTACAGGGCCCAGCTCAGTCCATCACGCCAATCAGCTGGTAGTTGCAATTGCTGGGTTGGTTCTGTTTTCAGCCTCAAGTCTCAGTTTTCAGTCTCTGTTTTCAGTCTCAACCAGTCCAGACTGGTTCCACACAGCGCATACTTGGCCCTCACATAAACCAGTGGGAGCTGCAGCCTGGTGAGAGCGACCCACAATAACCCCCTCCAGTCCCACCCCCTACCCTGGTTTGCCAGTATGTGTAGACCAGTCCAGTCTGTCCCACACCCCCCTTGGCTCTCGTACATGACAAATGTCATTGAAGCTTAGTACCATCTAACCAGCTCAACAATCAAGCCCTCTTGGGTGTTGTTGAGTGCCTCTCTGTCTAGCCACCCCAGCCCCTGCCCTAGTTTTTGTGCCCTCCCGTGGGAATGGTAACCCAAGAGGGGGGAACCCACTATTTCCCTCCCAGGTCCCTCACTCCCGGATTGTGCACTTTCCAGGTGGTTCTGCAGTTTAACTTGACAGAATTAGCCCCCAGTGCCAGTTTCTGCCAGCTGATGCTATTATGCCCAAACAACCCTTGCCCACTCTAATTGTAGGTTGCACCCATAGGAATAATCAGCCCAGCCTGGCTTTCCCCTGATCTAGTCCCCATGAGGCCCACAGGTGTTGTAGCCCTGCTTAGTCTGGTCTGCCCCCATCCCAGTTCATGCTCTCCAGTGGGAGTAGCTGTCCAACAGGGCAACCACCCCTTATTCCCCTCCTGGCTCTGTCCCCTCCCTTCCTGATTCTCATGTGTGTTGGATGGGCACTGCAGTCACATCCGGCACAGACAACCTCGTCCTGGCATTCTGTAGTGTGGACTGGTTTTTATCGTGACCAAACCTGGCTCGACCCTCACTCTGTTCTGGTGCTCAGATTTGCCAGTGATGACGTGAACTGATTCAGCCTGGTCTGCTCCCTATCCATGCCTAATATACACCAGTGGGAAACTTCTTGTGGCCTGCTCTGGGCTGTTTCCATTCATGCTTCTTGCACTTACCTGCCGGGTCTGTGTCCTGCCAGAGGAGTTGCCCAGGCTCCTCCATCAGAACCTCTCCCAATGCAACATTTTGTGCATGCCAGTGGGTCCATGAGCCAGCCCTACTCAGTTCCTGACTAGCCTTGGACCCAAGCTTGTTCTTGTTGTTGGACGTTTCAGCCCAGCCACGGCTCGTCCAGTCCATTCCCACATATGGCAGCACTGAAATTTTAAGTGTAGAATTTAATTTTGTCATGTACAATACATGGAAAAGGTACTCCTACGTCAATTATATGATATAAACTTTTAAAAGATTTATTTTTACTGGAAAAATCAAATCTTACAAAAGGAGATAGAGAAGATTTTGCATCCATTGATTCAGTCCCCAAGTGGCCACAATGGCTGGAACTGAGCCAATCCAAAGCCAGGAGCCTGGAGAATTCTTCCAGGTCTACCACATGGGTTCAAGGTCTCAAGTTCCTGGGCCGTCCTCGACTGCTTTCCTGGGCCACAAGCAAGAAACTGGATGAGAAGTGGAGCATTCGGGATTAGAACCAGCACTTATATGGGATACCTGCACATGCAAGGTGAGGACTTAGGCACTAGGCTACCGCACCGGGCCACTGTTTTCCTTTTGATTAAAGCTGGAAAGGCAGATCAGATTTATGGAGAGGAGAAACAGAAAGCTCTTTCATCCACCAGTTCACTCCCCAAATGGCTGCAACAGCCAGAGAAGAGCTGATCCAAAGCCAGGAATTTCCTCCAGGTCTCCCACCCAGGTGCAGGGTCCCAAGGCATTGGGTCATCCTTGACTGCTTTCCCAGACCACAAGCAGGGAGTTGGATGGGAAGTAGAGCAACCAGGACAGGAACCAGTGCCTGTATGGGATCCCAGTGCTTGTAAGGTGAGGATTTAGCCATTGAGCCACCATTGCACAGGGCCCTATAATTAAACATAACGTAAAACCAACTTCATTTTAGCAAATACTTTAAGTCAAAGATATCCTTAGGGCCCAGTGCGGTGGCACAGTGGTTAAGGTCCTTGCCTAGCACGCCCGGGATCCCATATGGGCGCCGGTTCTAATCCCCGTAGCTTCACTTCCCATCCAGCTCCCTGCCTATGGCCTGGGAAAGCAGTCGAGGACGGCCCAAAGCTTTGGGACCCTGCACCCGCGTGGGAGACCCAGACGAGGCCCCTAGCTTTGGATCGGCATAGCATCGGCCGTTGCGTTCACTTGGGGAGTGAATCATCAGATGGAAGATCTTCCTCTCTATCTCTCCTCTTCTCTGTATATCTGCCTTTCCAATAAAGAAAATTAAAAAATAAGTCTTAAAAAAAAAAAGATATCCTTAAACATATACTCTTTAATTTTAGTAGAATCAGTAGGTAAAAAAGTATGCTTTTATAAAAGGCTGGAGAATTTCTGTTTTTTCTTTAAACAAAATTGTCCTCATAGTGCAGAAACATTGTAAAGATTTCAAAATACCAGTATTTTTGTTTCTTGCAAAATTTTCCCTGATGCTTAACTTTTCAAAATTGTACCTAACATTTTTCATGTTTAGCAACATTACATGCCTGTCCTCTTTAAACAATAATTGTGACAGTAAGATGTGGCTTCAATTTGATGTGTATGTAAGGCTTAACCACCTTTACATTTTACAAATAGTGAACAAAATAGTTTATATACTTTGATATGAATGAAATGAGGAAAAAATACAGTACAGCAATAAATCAGCTCTCTTTACCTTTACTTTTGCCATCGTGTTAAAGT